GAGGGAGTGGGGATGGATGGATGGAGGAAGGGGTAGATGGGTGGATGGATGGAGGGAGTGGGGATGGATGGATGGAGGAAGGGGTAGATGGGTGGATGGATGGAGGGAGTGGGGATGGATGGATGGAGGAAGGGGTAGATGGGTGGATGGATGGAGGGAGTGGGGATGGATGGATGGAGGAAGGGGTAGATGGGTGGATGGATGAGGGAGTGGGGATGGATGGATGGAGGAAGGGGTAGATGGATGGAGGGAGGGAGGGAGGAAGGGATGGAGGGGTGGGGATGGACGGATGGAGGAAGGCGTAGATGGATCGGGGGGAAGTGTGGGGTGGTGAATGGAATAGGGGGATAGAGGTGAAGGGGGATTGGAGGCGGGATGGACGGGGAGGGGATGGGAGGGGGATGGAGAGGGGAGGGGATGGGAGGGGGATGGAGGGGAGAGGGGATGGAGGTGAAGGGGGGGGATAGACGGGGGAGGGGACGGCGGTACCCTAGCTGTGTGGCAGGGCGGGGTGGACAGTTCGTTTGAATCACTCTCCACCCTCCCCTCCCCCCGCCATCGATCTATCCATCCCTCCCCCCACCCCTCGGCCGTCTCCAGCCCCCCGCCCCCCTCTGCTCCCTTCCCACCCCCGGCCCTGCCCCTGGGCGCAGGGGGCACTCACCTGCCCATGCCAACCCAGCAGCCGGCCCCAGGCTCGGCGAGCGGCACCCCCAGCAGCGTCCGTCCGTCCGTCTTCCCCCACGGGCTGCGCGTCCTGCGGGGTGGGGGAACTTCTGCTACCAGCTCCCCAGCCCCGGAAACCCCCAAGTGTTAAAATGAGAAACTCACAAGGCAGCTGTATCCGCCCTCGAGGGCTGCATGGTCAGCGGGGGGGGGGGGGCGCGGGCTGGGAGCCAGGACGCCTGGGTTCTCTCTCTGGCTCTGGGAGGGGAGTGGGGGCTGGGAGCATGGACGCCTGGGTTCTCTCCCCAGGTGGAGGGGAAATGAGAGGGGGTCTGCTGGGTTAGAGCAGTGGGGCTGGGAGCCCGGACGCCTGGGTTCTCTCCCCAGGTGGAGGGGAAGTGGGAGGGGGTCTGCTGGGTTAGAGCAGTGGGGCTGGGAGCCCGGACGCCTGGGTTCTCTCCCCAGGTGGAGGGGAAATGGGAGGGGTAGCTTTGGTGCCCCCAAGGGAGTGCCTGGCAAGGCAAAATTTCCGCTGCTGAGCTGTGAAATCTACCCACAGCCCCAGGGGCCCTGCTCCCCACCCAAGGGTGTGGCCGGCCTTGGGGGGCAGGGAATGGGGCTCGGGTTCGTCCCTCCAAGGGGGAGCCAAGCTCCGGGGGATTGAGCAACCGAGTGTAGTGGGGCTGCAGAGCGCTAGGACTCCTGGGTTCTCTCCCCGCGCTGGGAGGGAAGAGAGGACTAGTGGTTAGAGCGAGGGGAGGGGAGGGGAGTGCCAGGACTCCTGGGTTCTGTTCCCAGCAGAGGATTGACCCAAGCCCCCATCCCCCATCCCCATGGCTGGGGTCCGTCCTTCCTTGAGAATCTGCTGGTTGTGAAATACACGTCTCCTTCCTTCTGCAAAACAACCCTGCAACTTCCTGGCTACAGCACCTCCCTCGTCGGCCTCACAACAAGCAAATGCGACAGAACCCAGGAGTCCTGGCTCCCAGCCCCCCCTGCTCACCCCACTCTCCACCCATAGCTGGGGATAGAACCCAGGAGTCCTGGCTCCCAGCCCCCCCTGCTCACCCCACTCTCCACCCAGAGCTGGGGATAGAAACCAGGAGTCCTGGCTCCCAGCCCCCACTGCTCCACCCACCAGCCCCCACTCCCCTCCCAGAGCTGGGGAGAGAACCCAGGAGTCCTGGCTCCCAGCCCCCTCCCACTTCACCTTGCCCTTGTGTGTGTTTGTGGGTCCCTTTCACCCATTCCAAGCCTCCCATCTGAGTGAACCTTCGGCAGCTCTGCCTAGTATTATTGTAGGCCCTACAGGATGTCACTGAAGGGCCCCGGGAGCCGTAGCGGCGCCGAGGGAAATGAAGATTTCTGTTTCCAGCAGGATCAGCCTTTATTCGGCTCCTCGCCGAGCAGCCGGGTGCAGAGAAACGTAGCGAGTCGAAACCAGGGAGCGAGGAAGTGGCCGGTGGCCGGCGTCCAGCTCTGGGTGGCGTCAAGGCCGCAAAATACCATGAGACTATCTTCAAAAACCAGGGCCTGGGGAAAGCACCAGTCGCGAATCCAAGGGTTGAAAAGTCAGTGGATTGGCCGGGGGAAATCGTGACCCGGGACGGCCCTGAGACGCTGCCCTCCGTATGATGTTATGCAAATATGCTAATGAGCATGAATAGGACGTCAGTGGAATATGCTTCATGCGAAAGGTCTCTTGTAAGGTATCGTGACAAAGCTTATCATCTACTGAGTGAGATCATCCTATTCGTATAAATGTATCACTTGTGTATCTGAAACTAGAAATAGGAAATATAACTCTGAAGGCCTATTGTCATTATGCAAAGTGGGGGCCGTTAATGGGGGTTTGGAATCTTGATGGCTCCCATCAACCAGGACAATTGACTGTGGATGGCTCTGTCTGCAGGCCGCCTTCCTGGGAGTCAGGCTGGGAGGAATGAACGCTGGGGTCTCCCAGGACATGGGACCATGTCACCTGGTACTGGAGTCCATCTTGAACCTGGGGCTTTTCCATTGAGAAGGAGGGGTGGGGCCCAGAGACAAAGGATTCCCGCCTTGGGCCGAAGCTATAAAAGGGGCTGGAGCAGGACAAAGAGGGGCCAGTCATGAGAAATCCCCGAGTTACCACCTGAGCTGGAACAAGGGCTGTCCCCGGGGAAGGGACGGGCCCAGGCCTGGAAGGCGTCTAGTCTGTGAAAGAAGCTATTGGAACATCTCTGAGGGGGAGATTTACCTGTATTTAGTTTCCTACTGTGTTAGGCTCAGACTTGCGTGTTTTGTTTGATTTTGCTTGGTGACTTACTTTGTTCTGTCTGTTATTACTTGAAACCACTTAAATCCCACTTGTTATACTTCATAAAATCACTTTTGTTTATTAATAAACCCGGAGTAAGTGATTAATCCCTGGGGGAGCAAACGGCTGTGCACATCTCTCTATCAGTGTTACAGAGGGCGGACAATTCATGAGTTTACCCTGTATATGCTTTATACAGAGTAAAACGGTTGGATTTGGGGTTTGGACCCCACTGGGAGCTGGGTGGGTAATGGAGACAGGGGACTTGCTGAGCAGTTTTTGGTTACAGTCTGCAGGTTTGGGGGCGGCCCAGACCTGGGTCGCAGTTGCAGCAGGCTGGCGTGTCTGGCTCAACAAGGCAGGGTACTGGAGTCCCAGGCTGGCAGGGAAACGGGCTCAGAGGTGAATTCAGCACATCAGGTGACGCTCCCAGGGGGGTCTCTGTGACCGAACCCGTCACAGGCCCCACGATTGTCTGGGAAAAGAATAAATCGGGGCCGGAGGCAGGAGGAGACTGGCTGGAAAGGGCGGGGGAAAGCGAGACACCCACAAATCCAGACATTTCGTTTCAACCGCCCGTTGGGTTTCTCTCAGCGTTTCAGGGTCGCCATTTCCAGCCGTTCTTCCCGGCCGGGACACGGGGAAAAGAGACAACTCTTTAACCCAGAGCCCAGGTCCCCGGGACTCCTGGAGCTGGGGCATGAAGAAAAGGGCCCAAACTTGCAATGTTGGTTATGTGTACAGGGGAGTGCTGGGCAGGGGAGTGGGGTCTGGCAGGTTAGGGCAGGGGAGGCTGGGAGCCAGGACTCCTGGGTTCTCTCCTGGCTCTGCGAGGGCAGTACGGGCTAGTAGTTAGAGCAGGGGACATGAACATTCACATTCGCAGCTGGGCTTTGGACTGACGCTCCCTGACTCGTCTCTGTCTCCTCCGGGACACTAGGACGAGAAAACGGAGAGAGAAAAGTGAAGGGCTCAAATAAGTGGGGTGGAAAACAGCATCTCCCCAACCTGGCATCCAGTAAAGTATCTGATACCATCAGCAGAGCTGGGGGGACCCCAGGGCTGGGCTGGCAGGGGCTGCGGGTCGGGAGTGAGGGGCACTGGCAGAGGCGGGGGGCGGGGGCGTGGCGGGTCGGGA